ACGAGGGTTCTAGTGTGTGGGTGTATGTATCACTTAGGTTATGAGTTAGGAATTCGGTTGGGGGGGGGAAGCAGTTAATTCCCATTAAAACTGATTGTCGAATAACCTCTCAATTTTGAAACAGTATTAACGTGTGCGATTATGCATGGTAGACATAATTATTATACACTAAATTATTGGCCTAGAAAAAAATCACTGTCTTAATCGTCTTAACATCCTAGCAATTAATTAGTTTTTTGTCGTGATTATCATAATAGATTCTATACCTATATATACCTATATTGATAATAATGTTTTTGTATTTTCAATTTTATATGTTTGCTATATTTGATGATTCAAAATTGTATTCAATACAGCCAGTAAGCGTGTGTATAATGACTAATAATAAGCTATATGATTCAGAACTCCTAATCTGATACTGATTGTATGCATTCTACCATTACATATTGTATATGTGTCTTTTAATCAGTGAATAATTTATCCGCGTACCCATTGTTTTCGAGTGCATGTTTAAACGTCATGTCATTGTGACTAGGCTTTTAAAAGATAGACGAATATTCGCTTTGATAAATAGCAAATTGAAAAATACAGTGATGTAAAAGATTCATAAAACAAACTGCGAGTATATTATGATAAACATTTTCCATGTACGCATGAATCCTGTTTTTTGCTAACGGAGAGTTACAATAACGATACGCAATATTTTTTTGACGTCAGTACTATCTATCCCTCTGCGGTTATCCCGTAGTTTCGTAACCCTTGAAACAACATTACACATTACCAAAAAAAAAAAAAACTAAAAAAATTTAAATTATTACTACCGGTCATTAATTTTTGTTTTAAAACTATCGCGAAAAACCACGCAGTGTTGGATCGTCGTCGTCATCCACGTGACTTGGCCCCGCTATAATTCACCGACATTCATGTACTTTGCGTACGTGTGTGTGACGCACGCCCTCCGCCGCAATGTTGTTTACTGCCTTCCCGATTCAGCTTTGTCCGTCGCCGGGTTGCATCGCAATAATTTCGTTTGCTGGACCTCGCGATGCGACGATTTGTCTCCCTTGTAAACTCCACTGCGGATTTTTCCGCTTGCACTGTGGAAACGACGATCACGGTACACCGAGACGTCGGTGTCTGCTATGCTGGCCTCTGACTTGTATACGCGACCGATCTATTTTGAGTGGATATCATATAATATTATGTATATACGTATTGATAAACATCACGTTGTTCGTGACCGACGACTTTGTTGTTATAGTAGTAGTAGCTCTGGGTGGGCGGGTCGGTGGGTGAAAGGCTGCGAACAGAAAAAAAACGTTTAAAAAGCATTGGCAATTCGTGCGCTCGTCGGCGCCGGCACACAACAATCAGCCGTGCACAATATTCAAGTCAAACGCCGCCGCCGGTCTTCTATATTTACGTTGCCATAAGCCTTACGTGATGGAATATTTAAAGACATTTACGCCGGATATGGGTATGGATATCGGATATGTTTACCTATGTTTGTTGTGTGCACATTGCGTATAGTGTTGGAATTTTTTTCAGATTTTATTTTGCTCGGGTAGGTAAACTATTATCACTGAACGCATGAAATCTGTCTCTATTTAATTTTGCTCCGAATTCTCTGTCAACCACATTGCATGTTCTATAGAGGGAATGCACCTCCGCGGCTTGCGACTCGCGAACGTATACTTATATCGATGTCCGTTTGTTGTTCGATTGTGTATGTGCTTTGTTCTTTTATTCGGAACTGTGTCTGTGATGTGATTATAATGTCATTGGTAGTGGTTAAGGGGGAGGGAGAGTATTGAGTTGGAGGTGAAATACATTTTACGTTGTTCCGGGAAATAACGCTCAGAGTGCTTTTCGCACGGATGACTGGTAAACGATATTTGCTTTGAACCGTTGACCTCAAGTACTCCGTATGAAAAAAAAAAAATAAATATATAGAAAAACCTATTAATTAATACTTTATTTCGTAGTATGAGTTCGTTCACTAGACGCAATAATATAGACAGTTTTCTGTGGTAAATTAATCTAAAGAAACTAAAAATAATAACCGATCACGGTATTTAAACATTATCGTCATACCATATGGCATATAGTCTGTGTGGATTCCGGATAGAAGAAGTGAGGCTGTGTTACGACGAGCTCGTGGATTTAATATTATAATATTATATTCGTACGAATCTAGGTAAAACCCGTCCGGAGTTCACAACAAATAAAAAAAGTGCCATGGATTAAGTGGATTAAGTGTTAACTATGCAGGCATTGGGCATTACGCGGGTGGACATTTTGGTAGTATCTATAGTCTATTCATATACCGGATATAATATTAAACTATTTTAATTTTTCAATTTATTTGGCGGAGGGAAGTATTTTTCTCCTTCGAAAAATATCGTTAGTTAGCACGATGTTAATAAGATTTTATTTCATTCGGTGTAAACAATGTAACTCGACGTACGATAATTGTTATTTTATTCGTGAAAACTTCGTCATCTCCTGTTTCATATTATATAATTCATGAGGTTCGCTGGTTGTTGTTTCACTTGTAGAGGAGGATTAAAAATAAATACGTTTGTATAGTGTATAGACGGGAAGTAGGTATTCAAAATTATTGAAGTACTTAGAAATTTAAATTATTTATATTCTAAAACTATAACTGCCGGAACAGTTATATTATATTAATTATTAATTATCATGTAAGGATCTGAAAACTTGATATTATTTTGTACTAAAAACTGATGTTTTTAGAATCTCTGTTGGTTTTTCAGAGAACTAAATATTCTTTATGACGTTAATTAGTAAATATTCCATTGGAAGTCGACTACCTATTTCTTTGACTGCAGTGGTCATATGATGCTCAAACAAATTGTAATACAATTTTTCTCGTGATAAAACTTAATTATTGTCATCGTGTAATTTATAAAATTAATTTGTCGCTTCGTACGGAATTAGATAATTTTTTAAAGTTATACCATAAATTGTCCTAACTCATTTTTAAACTAAATACGTGCATTCTTTGTGTATTCCCTGAAATTATAATACTGTTGGATAAAGCAAATTAAAAAAATGTTCATTGGTTACATGAATCTAACCTAATTACAAGAGTTAAATGATTAAATCTGCCAATAACTTTTGTGTGAAGCGGCGGGTGGGTAAAATCTCAAATTTTTATGGCTGCTGTTAAATGGGGTTTTTCTTTACGCTCACCCCTCTTAAAGTCTGCTTATTAAGACCAGCTCTGGGTGTTTCTTTTGTGTATTCAAGACGCGTTTACGATGGCTTTTAAAAATGTATATTATACTGTGGTATCCCAGATTTAATTTGATTACCAGAAGGTAAAAACTTGCAGTTTGGAGAAGGGTAATGAACCTCTGGGAAATATATAGCTATTAAGTTTGAAAAATAAAAAGTTACAATATAATAACTGTATGTATCCAAGCTGAGAAATAAATCTTCGTTGAAACTACATAGAAATGCCTTAATGCAATTAATATTGTAGTAATTTATTTAGAAATTGTTACACTGGTACAATATTCCTGAGAAGACTTGACATAACGAATCATTTTAAAGATTGTACTTAATGACGATTTAAGATAGGTATAGCGTTACAGTCTTTCCAGTTTGGTATAATTAAAATAATTTGTTCTAATTGCTGCCGTCGTTACGCGTTACCTCATCGTATTGAGATTTATCTTGCGGTAGATTGACGATAAAGTAGTGTTATATATATTCTTAAGATATGATAGTGTGCTGAAGTTGTTATTAATTATATATAACTATCTTCGTTTTTAATTTTTTTATTCATTGAGAATTTAATGTAAATGTGTTCTGTGGTATTTTTTATTATTATATCGTTATACATTTTGCTCTCTAAAGTAACTGTTAATTGCGAATAAAAACCCTTCACTGTCATCGGTGATGAACAGCAGTAGTCAGTGGCGTGTTGTTATTTTTCACACATTTGCATATTCACATAGCATGAAATGCGTTCAACACGCCGCGTACAATACAGTGTAATATTTTAATTCCGCTGTCATGTCCAAACGTACTACTCGTCATAGCCGCAGCGTGCCAGCGAGTAGGACAAATTAAGTAATTATTAATAATATTATGAAACGTAAAGCGTATTTTTTTCGGACGGCCAATTGTTTTCCTTTATGCAATGTCGGGTCTAAATTCAAACTACTATCCAAACCGAGTGGCGAGTACTTACTATACTGTATATTTTATACACTCTTAACGCACTAGACGTAAGCCTAGACGAGCGTTAAGTTTTCTTTTACTATACTATATGACAGTATTTTATATTTACTATTTTTACTATTATCATCATAATTATTATATAATGTACATAGTAGACTTCCGGACATCCGTCGGACGCGCGTATAATATTGTGTAGGTCCGCGAAAATGGTGGGAATTTTCTTGCCCGATTGTCCGACGACTACAACGGGAATCCGTATGGCTGGTTGCGATTGGACGTTGGCCCGGCCGCGGCGGTTTGCGCATGCGCCACCGCACTCATCGCGGGTTATGTGCGGGGCGAGCTTCTTCCCACCTAGCGCGAACGCCGTTGCCGCCGCCTGCCGCCTATATGCCCGACGACGACGCGCGCGCGGCAAAACGCACACGCGGCCGCCGCCGCCGCCTTCATTCTCGCGCACGCACACGCATCAGTGTTTGTGCGACCGTCTTTATGGGCGGACTCCGTCGTTGGCCGTGTTCGAACCGTATTCGTCATTCCGATATCAATCCTCGCGGTTGTCGTGTCTTTGCAAATATATTTTATGAAATTTGTAAAAACATTTTTTCTCTTTCGTAAAAAAAGTTTAAAATTTAAAACATTTTTTCGTGAAGTTTGTGTGTGATATCACATATTCTAATATAAATAGGTACTAATTTTAAACATACGCTCGTTATACCACCATGGTCGAAGTACGGCGGCGCGTTTAGCGACGCTTGACCAACTGTCGACCGCAGACTGTCGACGTCATGGTGGTACTGGAAAACCCGATGCCAGATCCTCTGGCCACTGGCGTCGGTCTGGTGCAGGATGCCGCGGCAACCACCCCGTTGACCGTGGACACGACAGGAGCCGTAGCGCCGCAACACCACCAGTCGTCCGTCGGTGGTTGCCTGTCTGCTACGTATCCTATACCCGCGGCGGCGGCGGCCGTGGCCGGCCAAAGGCACCATTTGAAAATGGTGCCTAAACGGTTCATCAACATGCATCAGTGGTTCAACCCGATCGGTGTCAAGCAGATCAAAGAGGCCATGGTACGTGTGCGGCGCGAATCCTTTATACCCGATCCGCCCCACGCTTAACAAAAACAAAACTTAGATGCACCAGATCTCTTGCGGTTTTTTTTTATTAGGATAACACACTCAAAACCGTCCCCCTAGCAACCTATTTCTCAATGTAGGAGTTCAACTCTTTCTTACGTCTACGAGAAAAAAATATAATATTAACAATAATATTATTTTTGGCAAAAAACCCACAAAAATCGTATACCTACCATGTATAGTGTATACGTAAAATATATTTCCTTTACATATAATATAATGACCACCACCACTATCATGGTTTGTGTCGTATACGCATTTTATCTCTATTCACCCCGACGTTTTCTCTGGTCCATTAGCCATCATCTTTCTCTTACTCTTTTGCTGATACGGATGAATAATATACCGTGTCGTTTTCACACGTCCGACTATATGCGATATACTCAGCGACATTAAAAAAAAAGTGGGGGAGTCAAACGGTTTTCTAAAGACATGCTTGGCGGCGACGTGTTTTCGCTGAACACCACGCGTGTGCGATTTAAGCCGGTTAACTTTTCCCGGAAAAAAATGAATTATTTTGTAATGGGAAATAATAACTCTGTTCGTCCTAAGAGACTACAACTAAATATATTACAATTTCTAAAAAGAAAATGTGTATATACCGTTTCTGAAATCTCAATAGACCCCGTCCATAAATCTTTTTTATTTTTTATAAACGTATAAATATACTACACACATGCGTATAGTATATATTATATACATTTATATTTATACCTATATAATATATATAATGTTACCTACCTGTATAGATTTAACAAACTTTACGCGATCATGGCCATTGGTATTTAAATGCGTTATTTAAATTCAAAATGTAATACCTTTAAAGTGAATTGGTGGAGTATAGTACCCAAATTTTAGCAATTGCTCTAAAAGTTGTAGACCTCTGGATACAGGTCGTTGAGTTTTCAAGGTTCATTCTAGATCAGTTTTACTTATGAAAACGTTTTATTCGTGCGAAACCGACACAAGTAGACCGTGTACAGATTGATTTTGGTTCGTTTGCGCAAAAAACCCTAGAAACATTAAGTTTTATAAGAGGCTATTGACACAACGATAGAAAAAACTACCCAACGCTAACAATAATGCGTTTTTCTTTGCAACCAGAGCGTGACGACCCCATAAGGCGGTTTTTTTTTAATTTTTGACACGAAATTTTCCCGAGTTTACCGGAATAATCTCCTGGTTGTCAAAACGATGCACGCTAGTAGTTTCCTTTATTCAAAAAAGATTCTTTTGTTCTACGTATTAAATGTTTTCTTGAATCATGATCGTAGGCTTTTATATTATCATACGAGATAGGGTAATGCATCATTTTTAATATAATAAATAATTTAAATGAAAAAGTTAATTACAACATATAATCAAATACGAATGTGTATTAATAATGTTCTTAAAAGTTAAATGAACATTTATGTGTATATACTGATGTGTTGTGGTGCATTTCAAACGATTTTATCAATTTAATTTAATTTTGATATACGTAATAGGTACGAGGTACGTTAATGTAAGTCAATTATACGTAAGCAATGAAATTTAATATAGTTTTTTTAAAACTTAATTAAACTTCATTAAAAACTCGTTCGTGATATCAGATGTTGGAAATATACTATTATAAACGGTATGGAAGCCGTTAGAAGTGTGATGACAATACGGTGGATGAGATTATTGCGTTCACCAAGTCAGACTCTGATTGGTCATCTTTTGATACAATAACATGCCCAAGGACATGTAGTATTGAACAGTTCGTGTATTTTAATCAATACGGCAAAGAACAAAACAAATCTTCCAATTTGGGACATGACTCTTCGAAAACCACTGCTTATAAGCAGATTATTTTCGTGTGCTACACGTTTTCGAGCCTGTTTCTGCAGAGTCTTTATAAAGAATCTGTGAGCAAATTCGAATACCTATATTGCATATTATTATTATTATTATTATTATTATTATTTACAAACAAATAGGTTGACATTTGACAGTCTTCAAGGTTTTTAAATTAACACAGAAAATAGTGTATAATTCTTGTTTTTTTTTTAATATTTCGATTTTGTTAGTTATTTCATCGTTTATAAACAGGGTAAATATACCTATAATTGTTTTCTCTGTTGTAGTGTTTTTGGTTGTTCTATACATGTGTAATATCAGTAATGCATTATGCATATCAGTTTTATACTCAATTGTTGATTTCGAAAAGGTTTACACTAAATACATGTTGAGGACTTTATTGTTCGGTAAAAATCGTTTATGTAAGAAAATGATACCCACGTGGTTTTTCTATTTCTTCTTCCCCACAATCTTCAATATATTATATTTATACATCATAATTCCTCTCATTTCCTATCTCCTCGTACTTACGACGTCGTATAATGAAATTCCTTCGTAGAATGCTTGTTGAGTAAGAAATAAGTGGGATCTCAGAGATTGATGGTCTAACGATATTTTCCAGGGTGAATATGGGTACCCTCATCAGTATTGACCCAAACTCGCATGTCATAACGAATTGTCTGTACAAATGTAGAGATCAGCGTGTCTTAATATTTCTTATTGTTATTATAGTTCAACGTGTCTTTTTTCTCTTGCTTTTATTATATGTGTTAAAAAAGTAAAAATGTGTTTTTATATAAATCACTAGGTACTAAGTTTGTTTAAAGTTCTAGTCTTATCCATTCATTTATTTATTACATAACGTTGTATTCTTAAAGTATATAGATATTTCATTGTATTAATGTTTGAAAGAATTAATAAATTTCAATATTGTCATTATGAGTTTTAATAATTGGTGGAAGTAGTTGTATTTGAATCAAGTAATTTATTATCGCTCCGTTCAAAATAATGAAATATCATCAAATATACATATTATTATTTTTGTATACGTCAAAGAAAGTATAATAATGTATTTTATATTTATTTATTTGGTCTTAATAAGACTATGATTAAGTTTTACATAAACAGTGCTTTATTATTGCCACTGGAGTATCTACTTAAAATCGGCTTTCATTATTATTATTTGTATTTAAATATAATAAATGAAAGTAATGAAAAATGGTTTTTGAGACCGGAAAGGTATCCGGAGCAATAAGTGCCATACGTTTTTCAGCCGCAAATTTAATGAAATTAACTTTCTTTAAAGGCTTGGAACAAAAAGTCCGGAAAACTGAAGGTGCCTCCCCACTTGCTCACAATATTAAAACAATGGCGATTAATTTTGAAACTTCCTCTGTAGAGGAAGGTATCGTCATACGATCATTAGTTATAACATCTTTTAGTTTATCCTATCATTAATTTCTTCAACTTCAGTGTAAGGTATTTTCTAGAGTCGTGAATACATTTGGGTAACTATTTTACTTGTGGTTCATTTATCTATCTATGAAATAAATATTTTTTCTGATATAAAAAGCAAATTAAATTAAATAGAGTGGGCTAGAAAAGCAAACTTTTATGGTAAAAATTGGTGATAAATAAAAAGTTTTCATCTTAACCCTTAAAACTTGGCATTCGGCACTCTTAATTATAAAAAAACAGTCGTTTAAAACGAATTATGAAAGAATAAAAGAAATACATTCGTGTCAATTGTATTTTGTTTTTTAATTTATTTAAAATGAGATTTCTTAATTAAAAAACAATGAACGTTGGAAATCTCAGAATTCACTAAAAGTAAACAGTAATTTTTTTTTATTGATTAAAGTGTGGGGGAGTTTCATTGAGAAAGCAATAATTTAATATAGGTTGACTTTTTTAAGATTTTTTTTTAGATATATAACTACATATTATTTTTTCACTGTCCTACTTAAGTTTTTTTCAATAAAATCTTTGTTTTTTTTTTTACCCTTTTCTGAGCTTTGACGACACATACGTGTGGGGTATGTCTTCAAACTGAATACTCTTAGAAACGTGTATGCCGATCAATGGACAAAGGTATACAATTTTTCACGGAAAATAGATTTCTTTCTGTACGAGCATTACGGATATGTATTGTATTTTAGTTCCGTTCAATTGATACCATTATTTATGTGTGTAGGTAGATTAGATACCTAGTAAAGGCATTTTCTATATTCTTAGTGCTCATCTATATATTTAAATAAAGAGAGGTACTGCTATCTGGGTGTTAAAAAAAGATAATATCGATTTACAACCATATCTCTATTTGTATAAATCATCACTGTGTGCGGTGTGCGTATTGTTTTCCCCAGGTGAACAGTTTTTTTTATTACTAGGTACAGATATTAGTTGACAATAAAAAGGTTGCATAAACTGTACTTAATGTGATGGTTATTATTATATATGTATTAGTTTCGATGAAAATGTTTATTTTATGATATTCCGACAATTTTAATAAATTAATTGACTTGCATTTCATGTTTTTCGTTGGTTTGATCATTTTACAATTTCCGATTACTGACAACATTCTTCGTCATCTTGTTAAAAATGTTACACAAAACTTACAAATTTCCAAATTAAAAATTAATAATAAATAAATATGTTAGTAGTGGGCCAATAAATAATTAATAATACTGCGTAATTATTGGGGTCTTAATCAATTGTTATCATTGATTTTAGTTCTATTTTACTATACAATTTCTAATTTCAATGACATGTCTACTAGCATCAATTATGATGCATTGACGCACTGTTACCTAATAGTTTATACACAGTTTTATAATATTAATATAAGATTGTTTTAAATCAAAACCGTTTGAAGAGTTACGTGTACCTAAATACAGTAGGTAGTAATCTGTTCTAAACGAATTCAATGACTTATGGAGTAAACACATAATTTTTGAATACATAATTGACTCATTGACTTACGTATCTCTTATTGGACACTGATATTTAATTTGTTTCATAGTAATTCTTTTGGCCGTGATCTGTTGTGACTTCTTCTGACCTATAAATGTACACTATATTGTTTAGTTATTCAAAATAAAATAATCGTTTTAATTGGTGCTATTTACTTTTTTTCTCTTTAATATATTGGATAAAAATTA